TATCGTAACAATTGATTGATTAGAAATAAAGTTATATGCCTTTTTAAGTTACTATGTCCTTATGTGACAAGACTTTTGTCAATGACTGTATATATATATATATATATATATATATATATGTATGTGTGTGTATGTGCGTGTGTGTATGTATGTGTAAATACGCATGTGTGTGTATGTATGTATGTATAAATACGTATGTGTATGTGTGTGTATGTATAAATACATATTTGTCTGTGTGTCTGTATATATGTATAAATATGTATGCGTATGTGTGTGTGTGTGTGTGTATTCCCTAATGTTGAATTTTAGCATTTATTAACATTCTGAATTCAGCGTTGGGGAATTGTGTTGCCTGGTCTTCAGCAGTAATCCGCAGAATTGCAAAGTTTTATGTAAAAGATCATTACAGGGGAAGCCACCTGTCTTTCATATCAATTCAGATTTAGACTTAACTGAAATGATGCTTTGGAGATTATGGTGCAGAATTTCCTTTCACACCAGCACATCCAAAACATCGAACACTGAGCTCATTGGACCTCCCCCAGCTATTCATGATGAACAAATATCAGAACAGCCCACCCACTGTTTAAACAGGACAGAGACTTCCACAAGAGCCATGACTCCCTGGCAGTCACTCACGAGGGTCATACTTACAAAGTGAATGCCCTGATACCTCTGGAGAGGGTACCCCATGATGAGGTAGGTGGGCCTGTAGGGGCACACAGGCAGGATGCCACGCAGGTATGACGCGCTCATCAGCGGAACTGCAAGAAGGGAAGCTCCGGAGGTAACGGCGGCAGATGCGGACTGAATGCGAAACGTCACAAGTGAACATCCTCTTGTCAAGACAGAGGACGACTGCTGAATTAAGTTAGATATGACATGCATCTGATCCAGCATTGAAAACAAGGGCCTGCTGTTCAGGCTGGAATGTAGACGTCATAGAGCTGGTTACCATGGTAGAAGGAGTCCCGCGGGTCTTCTCTCAGCATCTCGGCGCCATGGCTGGAGACCCTGGCATACGTTCTCCAATGGAAGGAGCTAGCAGGTGTTTGCGGTATGTGGCTCACCTCGTGCAGCTTCAAGTCGGTCTCATCTGGAAGGGCCAGACAGGGAACACGAACGGATACCAATGTCAGCGTCCATGCCAATGGCGATGCCAATGCCGACTGACGTGCAGAACGATTGCAGGGTGGGCGCGACAGTCACCATCTTACCGATGTACATGGATATGTGTTCGGAACCAATGATCTCAAATGGGGTTCTGTCCTGATTCACTCGCCACTGTGGAGATCAGAACTCCGTTAGCGCCCAGGAGCCTAGACCCGGTTTTGTTAATCTGCTTTTTACTACAGCTGTCTAGTACAACTGTTTACACAAACCTCTTTTCCTCCCCACGTAGAATACAATAATCAAATAGAGATATTTTATTCATCTCCATAGGGAAATAGTCTTTTCACCTGCCCCACCTTACTCTCCAATAGAAACATATGGTTAAGAGCAAGTTTTGGGGTCACAGTGCAGGGCTGAGCAGGGTCCAGCAGCCCTAGAGCAAGTACAGTGGTACCTCAGTTCTCGAACTCATTAGAACTCGAATTTCTTAAAAGTCGAACCAACCAGTTCGAAAAAAAAATACCTAGAGCTCAATCTGAATCTCAGAAGTCAAACCGTGAACGCCGACCTAAGATAACTTGTACGCGCGGGGAAATGAGTCACGCGGCACGTCTCTCAGTGGAAACTAAGGGTAAAGCTTCAGTCTCAGCCTTGCATTCGCTGTGATAGCATCGTGCATGTTTACACTAGCTGAATACATATATTTAGACAGTAAAAATACATTTAAAC